AAGAGGAATTAATCACAGGTAGAGTCCTAAGTAACCACTGCTAATCTAGAAAACTGCACACAAATTCAACCAAGGCCCTCTTGCAGTATTCCACACTCGCCCCACCTCTGCCTTGCTAAGAAAGAATGACATTAGTTTTTCCTTGGTCTTTGGATTCTTTCTAAATCTTTAGTGAATGTCAATTTCTTTTCTAGAAGTTATTAATTAGTCTTATATTAACTGTTTTACCTTGCTGCTTTGACATGTACTGGAGTGTCTGTAGAACAACATTTCTGTTGCAGAAAATTCCTAAGGCTTAGAGCTGGCACACATCATACGTTCAGCTAAGTGGTTTTGTAAGTGCAGATTATACTAAGGAAAGCTTTAAAAAATGGACAATTAGTACTGCTCAAGTGATCCGAGTGGCTTTTATGCTGTGTTATTATGTGGATTACAACAGCTTTTACAGTGTTATAATCAAAGCCAATTTTTATAAAAATATATATTTTTATTTGGGTTCAATCAATTTAGGGTGGGAAGCAATAGGGGCAAAGCAGCGCTGGGTGCATGGAGAGCCGCAGCTCTGCCACACGCACCCCGAGTTCCAAAAAGCAGCGTTTTTTTATACTCTTGTGCCATTGTTTTTAACCAATCTCCTCCCGTCAGAGTTGTCCTGCTCTTTTCCATTGGGTCATTTGGGTTGCTGGGGTGCATGTCCTCCTCCTACTGGGCCTTTTGAAAGTCTCGAAGCCTTGGTCTCCTGGCGCGCTTTTCTCCTATTGGATCTTTTAAAAGAAAGTCTCATGATCTCATCCTTTTGGTGGGCTTTTCTTCAAACAGCAGTTACATGTCAGCTCTAGGTGGGGGTTCTGAGACACGGTTACTTTGTTCCAACTGAATGGCACACTGTACATTTAATTGTTTAACTTTTACAGATCATTCAAGTGTACCTACCCACCTTGCCCAGCCTAGCAAATCAGTTACAATAGTTTATTACAGCACCCGCCTTGCTTATTAGTTACCATAGTTTATTACAACAGTTACATAATTATAACCATATCGGGTCAGACCAAAAGCCTACCGAGACCAGGATCTAAGAGGTCAACCACCACCACACACTAACACTAAGAGAACTAGCCAAGAAAAAAAATGGGGGTTTAGCCAACTCAGACATCAGACTGGGTGCTGGGTTTGGATTAGGTTCTTCAGTTGACTTTGTTAAAATTAAGACTCAGCCTATTCTACTACATCAGAGATGGCACTGGGAATGGACGAGATTGCCTGTCTGCTTAACTTCTTGATGGCAAACTTGTAACTGACCAGTGACTAATAACACCTCAGAGGAAACAAAAGAGAATTCCCTACTTCTTTTCTCACGAATGCAGAAATACTCCCTGGAGTAAACCAGCATTCTTCAGTAGCAGTTACCAGTAACTCTCTATATTCCAACAAACTCTTTATACAGATAAAAGAAATTTGGTTCTTGTTTTGTATTCTGTTTGGAAGAGTGCAAGCTATTACCCCCCTGTCAAAAACGTCAAACAAAAACAGCAAATAAAAAGTCACCAGAAGCCAGAGTGCCCTGAACTGCCTGCAGAGACCAACACCAGGCAGGAAGGATGTCTGTTTTCCTCCTCTGCTGCAGCATATACAATGGCCAAGACCTCACAGAACCGAGCTCAAAACCTGAAACCTCAGGGTACAGGAAGAATTACCCTGCTCTCAGCTGAAACAGAGACAGCAATAGCATGAGGGACAGGGCTACCCCTGTGAAAAACACCCAGTGGAACCACTGGGTTGCAAGTTTCTCAAGGTGGAAGTGGAGGAAAGCTGCTGCTGCTCTGCATTCTACCACAAGTGACAAGAGGATTTGAATACTGCAGTGCCCACGTGGAAGAAGATGGTCCTGACCTGATGAAAGGCTTTATGACACATTTTAGCCATGGAGCCCATATGAGGCACCCTTCCCTATCAAACTTCATCAAGTGCCCTTAGCTGGGCACTGCATATGGACCAGCCCTTGAAAGCCTCCTCTAGGGAACTCAACTTTCTTTTTTTAACCAACTTCTCCATCTTCTGCCTTCATCAGCCCATTACAAAGTCGCTGCAGTTGACCCAAATGAAATTCTGATCTGAGCCTGAATCCAAGAACAGTGAGGCGAGGCTCTAAGGCACATGGAATAGCTGTGAGCTCTCACCAGTATGCTTTGCAAACCCCCTGTCAGATGCCCAGGGCCAAAACCTATGCTCACACTCTTCCCACTCCACCGTGAAGGTCTCAAACAAGTGGCAGCTCCTCCTGTACATTTACAGAAAAGTCTCTTCTCAAATAAAATATCTTCAAAATCTCACGCTCATGTCAAGTGACCAAGGGCTGGACAGGGAGAAGAATTCGGAAGCAAATACATAGCATTTATCCAGTGTATTCTTAAATTTCCAACAATTTGCATCTCAGAGATTTTTAAATCTCAGGACTAAACCTCTCAAGTTCCTTTCATGTTTCAGAATAAGGATTCTTGATCAGGCTTCAGCTTCTCTCAACAGAAGAGCAACAAACTCCCTCCAGAAGTTATTTATAAACTATTTTAATCTTTACTTGTTTAACTGAACTGGAATCCCCTGAGAAATATTGCATTTCTGTTTTGAAAGGCCTATGCATATACTGCTTGTATTTCCACTGTTAGTGATGAGTAAAAAAAATGTCTTTCTTCATTCCTTTTAAACATATTTAACTGACATAACAAAAGAAAGAGCCATCTATTGTTTATTCATGCTTCCAATATTTAGCTTAAACTAGACAACTCTGTGATTCAAACCATTACACAGGAAACACAGCTTTGAGTCATTCCTGTTTATCTTTCTATCAGGTTCTTGAAACAACAGAAACTTAAAGGTGTAAAGACACACTTGAGGTGTGCTTCATACTGGAAACTCAACAATGTAAGAATGGAAAAGAACCTTCTTTTTCATCGTTCTCTTTTCTATTTAAGCAGTATAGTCCTGTACTAATAAAAAACAATTCTTCTGAGTGTTAGGTGGAAAACACACTCCCATACAACAGAGGAAACAAATGGAAAGGAGCCAAAGAGAGGATCCATGTCATGCTACTGGCTTGTCCTGCGAGACACCGACAACTCCGGTGATTTGAGGGAGTGGTAGCAGTATCTGCTTCCCACCTCTCAAGATGTAACCTAGGGCAGGCAGCATCAAAGCCATTTACAAGGCTATCTGTCAAGCAGGAAGTGGGATCTATTCAATCACATCAGTTATTCACACCTAAAGAATCCTCACAACATTTCTCATAAGCCACTGCTTTACAAGTGAAATAAGGAAAGCGCCGAGGGAAACACAGGCAGCCTCTACTACAGTCACTTCATCTCCCACAAATTTAAGAAAAATAGTACGCCTGCTACATTTTACAGCCCATTCAGAAAAGCTTATTATGCTCACATATCAATTAATACAGATGTAAATTTTGTAATTTACCTGGTCCTAGAAACAAAGAAATACTTTAGATATTACTAAGATGACATTTTTTGTTCAAAAAAACAATTTTCCAAAAATTGTAATCAAGTGTCATCTAAGAGGCAGTCATCTAAGCTCTCAAAATGCCCTGCTTTATTACCACATCCTCTAGATTGTGGCAAGCCAGTCTTTGTGCAGAAAATGCATTTTTGACAGAAGTGAACAGCTAGCTCTACATCTAGACCACTTCTTGAGCTTGGTTTTTAGAATGAGCACTAATCCCATTCGGTTTCCTGACAGCAAATGTATCAGGTTCCTCAAAGAATTTAGATGCCAATGTTTTCTTCTGAAAACACAAGGAGGACCAACACCCTAACCACTGGGGTTTTAATGGGTTTTAACTCCTCATGTTTTCTCCAGTTTAATTTGTGTTTTAATGTCTGTTGAACAGTGGCAGAGGAAGACAACTCAGCTTCAGACCTGTCATGAAGGGCACTCTAAAGGGGAGACACAGCTGCAGAAACCTGAAATGTGAAAGGAAGGACCTCTATTTCCACTTCTCAAACAAGTACGCTGAAGCACGGATATTTGTTAGAATAAGGTACAGCATCTAAGCTCAAGAAAATCTGACTGCCATCTGAGAAAGGAAGGAATTGCTTAGACCTGACCACTAGGCAGGACCTCAGATAGCTTCTCTAAACATTTCTCACAGGCTAGCCCTAAGTATTTCATCAAGCATTCTCCTGCCAGGTGGCTCCGCTTGGCACACCGACTCCTTTGGCTGCCGTCACACACAGAAGCGCGCCAACCACTGCACACCAAGTCAAAGTTACCAGCACAGGAATCTGCTGTGGATAGCAGGCTCATACGAGTGAGTTCGGGCTTTCCTCGCCACCATCAGCTCCACACTTTCAAATTAAGTTTGTATATGTAACCTTACATGAGAAACTGAGGGTTTGGGGCAGCTGCCAAAAGGCTGTCTAGATGCTTGAGGAATAGAAGCGAAGTGGAATGAATTCCCCTCTACCATTCTTAAGCAAGTTTAGGGACACTTTCCCACTTCAAGTTAAGATGATTCATACTGACACTTCAAGTCACAGATTTCAAATAATCCTCAAGGAACACTATTTGCAATAACTGAATATTAACTGGCCAAAAAATAAGAGTTGCACCAAAAAAAAAAAAAAAAAAAAAAAAAAAAAAAAAAAAAAAA